CCCACCAATGCATGAGCTTCGTTAATCGTAAATTTCCAACAGCACCCTATGACTTTCAGCAGCACTTTTCTTTGAATTAAACAGGAAAAGTAAAACTTCCCGCAAATGCTGTTTTGTTGGCTCAAAATTTGATATCTTTGGAGCTGAGAAAAAATATGTTGTTTACACTAGTGATCTGCGTTCATGAATGATCCGGTCATAATGACCGAATCTTCAAAAAGAGCCATATTGACCCGTTCACGTTATGTGACCCTATTGCTCATCGTTCATTTGAGTCCAATCTCAGTGCCTGCAGATCTGAACTGGAGAGCTGATGCAGAATGAAAGCCATGAATGATCGACTCATGATCTATCGGGTATCAGTACTCTTAAGTCGGTATTGTATGTTTGTGATCTGAAATCTGAATACTAGACACTGTACAGGGATATTTATCACCAATACCGTGATCAGTAAAAAACATACCTACTCTACTTCTTTTTTGTTTTCAGACATTTTTTAAATTTTAATCACATATAATACAACTAGCGAACTGGCCTCAAAGACTACCGTTATAAAACTGAACTAAATAAAAATTGTTTTAAATTTGCGATACTACAGGCACTTTTAAGGGCTTCTCACAATATCTGTATTATTTTTTTGCATAAGCATTAAGCAATTATTTTCTGATGTGATTTACATTTATAAAAAGTGTCTGGAATTAAATAACGCATTTGTTTCTTTTAAAAAATACAAATATAAAAAATAAATGGCCATAGATCTATCAGATGTCGACAGTGCATGCGCAGGAAGATATTAGTCAACACAAGCCATGACAAAAAAAAATTCTTTCGCGCATAGCCCAACGAAACGAAATACCGAATGATACAGATTGAATTCGATACTATTTCATTAATGTTCATATGAACCGGTCTTCATGAACAGATCATTTTAATAATTGACCTGGATGACCCGGGTCGCGAAAATAAACGGATCTTCCCATCACTAGTTTACACATAATAAAAAGTAAAGCCTAATGACAGAGCTTTAACATGAATGTTTCATAACTCTACTGATACAGAGCAGGCACGTGTAGAGGCTCTTAAAAAATATCGATTTGTTATGTAACATTTTTTCTGGGATGTACCGCTGGAGAGATATTGGCCACTGAGAAGATGAGTGTTAAATTTTTAAAAACAATAATATTTCAGCAATGCCTTAACATAGAGCAACCAAATTTGGTACTTGATTTGCGTTTATTGTTATTTTTAATTGGTAAAATAAGAATTTGTTGGAAGCCCAATAAGGGCTGGACTTGGGGCAGTGGCAGCTCGTCAGGTGACACACCACTTCACCTAAAATTTCCGTTTGGTTGTGCAATTTAAAATTATTTTAATTAAATTTTATAATTTAGATATAATTCTATATTGGAAATGCATTGTGTTTGTTTTATATGCAGAAATAAACAGAATAGTTGCGCGGTGAACGCCTTCTAAAAAAACATTGCCTTCGTTGAGCGCGAACATCAACCTCGGACTATACAACGGATAGTATACGCAAGTGACGCAGATTGAAACGGTCTGTATTCTGTTTCTTTTTGTAGCATTGTTTACGGTTGTCATGGCAACGAGGTGGCCAATACATGACTAAACTACGGCATGGGGGAACGCGTGACGCAGAAATTGAAGCAGCATCGCCCATCACCTGCCTTTAACAGTTTGAACAGTTTATACGATATGCGTTGCCCAGTGCACGATTATAACGGATCTTTGTTAATATTTGATTTGTATAATAATTGTAGAAATGTTTATATGTATGATCCAGTATGTATTTTATTAGAAACGCCATTTTCCAGATGGAAAATTGAGGACAAAAAGGATTTTTTAAATTGCTAGAGACCTGTGCCTTATTCTCTCGATATAGAAAAAAGAGGATGTCAAAAGACAACGTGTACGTTCGAAAGTTTCGGAATGAATTGTATTCGGAGTATAAGTGGTTGTGTGGAAGTGTTCATTTAAAAAAACTTTTCTGTATGCCGTGTTTAATTGTGGATGTAAAGTCGAGCGTGTGGAATAAGAAGGGATTTAATAATTTTGGGAACGTCACGCGAGGTTGTCGTAACCACAAAGGTTCTTTGGAACATATACATGTATGGTGTGCCTTAATGTTCACAGAAGTCCACAAGCCGAACTAATATTTCTATTTTTTATAAAATCTAAATGAAAATTCTTCTCACGAACGTCAGTTTTTCGGTAATATTGCAAATGCAACTAAAAATGTCCAGATTCATTTGAAGCCGTTTGACCTTGAACATTTGAAAATTTTCGTCAGCGGCGCTTTTTTTTTATTTTTAGTCAATCAATGAAAATACTTCACCTATTCTCAATGTCATGAGCCGCCACTGACTTGTGGTAGGGTGCCCTTAATATGATATCGATTTTTTATCAGTATGCCAATTATTAAATAGTTTCACCAGATTACAGGAAATTTAGTTTTAAATTTTTTTTTACTCTTACAAATTTCTTGAAAAAATAACAGCTTTTTCTTGTGAAACAGTGTCATTACTAATTGAATCGAACAAAAAGTGAAGTATGCAATTATACTAGTGATTTAACGATTTCATGTCATTTTTGACATTTACAAAGACTGCACATTACCATTTACTATTCCATCATCACTTTGTGAAATAGTCGACATGTATTGGGGTTTTGTGAGTGTAATTGTTGACAAAGTGTACAGGAGTACCGAAGAAGATTTCATATTCATTTGATTCCACACCGGGTGACCATTGATAATATTGAGAGGGCTTGAGAGACTTGATCATTTCTAATTGGCAACGAAGGAGGACGTGTTAATCATGCAGTAAATGCACGAAACGAGATATGACTTTTAAGAAGTATTGAAAATGACCCTCAGATCAGCACTAGGCGATTATCTAGACCAGGGGTTGGCAAGTAATTTTAGGTGGAGTCCGGATACTTTTGAAAATGTTTAACGAGGTCCAGAAAAAACTCATATTCCTTACTAATTTTTTATTTTAATTTGTACACAAAATAAAATATGAAATACATACTACTATCTACAGAAAAAATGTTTTAAATAATTTGAGTAATTATAATTAAAAAAATATATATTTGGCGGTCCTTCTTTACCTTCCGCGGTCCGGATCTGGACCGTGGTCCGCCAGTTGCCGACTGCTGATCTATACAATATACCACATGCCACGGTCCATCAAATTATAAGACGTAATGTGCTTCATCATATCTAAAATATTCAACAATTGTTACCCCAGATTTAGGCCAAAGAACTTTTTGTGATTTCATTTTACGTAGGGTATTGGGTTTCATGAGAAAATTCTTTTTATGGACGAGGCTCGTTTCACTCGAAGAGGAATCACAAATTTGCATAATTTCCATGAATATTCGGATGAAAATCCACATGCAATAATTCCTCACCATTTGCAAAATGAATTTAAAATAAACGTATTGTCAGACGTTATTTGGTTGGGGCAGTTATACTACCAAACCGGCTGAATGGCGAAAATCATTTACTTTTTTACAAAATACTCTCCCTGGGCTATTCGAGGATTTGCCTTTGCAAATGAGACGTCAAATATGGTTGATGGACGAAGGTGATCCACCGCATTTTAGTGCCAAAAACCAAATCTGAATAAATGTGATTTCTTTCTCTGGGAGGCTTTAGAAGAAATTGTTTATTTTACACGGGTTATATCTGAAGCAGATTTATGGGATCGTATAAATAATCAATGCAATGCCATAAAAAATGATCCAGTTATTGAGCAGAGTAGACTCTAATTTTCGGCAGAGGGTAAATTTATGTATTAGAGAAAATGATGGCTATTTTCAACAGTTTTCGTAGGGCTATTTAATGATATCAGTAGTTTATATAGTTAAAGTTGAATTTGTTAATGTTTTGTTTATAAGGTTCCTCTTTTTTTAATATGTTAAAAACAAAATAAACAAATTTAATAAAATTGCTTTTTCTTGATACTTTTTTGTAAATGCCAAAAATGACACATGAAATCATAGCTTACTAGTTGTAAAACTACATAATGTACTTTACTTTTTGTCCGATTCAATTAGAATGACGCTGTATCACAAAATTCCGATTTTCTCAAAAACCGTTATTTTCTCGCAAAATTTCTAAGAGTAAAAGAATGTTTAAAATTCAATTTCCTGTAGTACTGGTAAAATTATTTCATTATTGGCATACTGATTAAAAAATCGATATCATTTTAAGGGCACCCTATCCCTAGTCCGGCACTTATTGAGCTTCCAACAAATTCATACCGATTAAAGATACAAACCATGTATCAAATTTGGTTTCTCTAGTTAAGGCATTGCTGAAATATTATTGTTTTTCAAAATTTAACACTCATCTTCTCAGAGGCCCATATCTCTTCAGCGGTACAATCCAGAAAAAAATGTGTTATAACATATCGGCATATTTTAAGATCTTCTACACGTGCTCTGTGTCAGTAGAGTTGTGAAACACCCAGCATAGTAACAAAAGTGTCCTATGCGATATAGCATAAGTTACACCATCTATTGCAAATCCCTTAAAATTCATTCTTAGTCATTTTATACGTATTAACTCATTATTTATGAACGTGATTTTCTCAATCACTCCTGAATTGAAAAACGAGTTAATATGAATAAAATATTATTAACGCTTCATTTAAATAAAGTTAAAACTAGCATTTCACAATTACCCGTCTTCTCTAGAAATCGAACAGTATGTATGTTGCATTTACCTCACAATTTAAAATATGGAATCACACTACTTCTACTACGTTGTAATCAATGTTTTTCGAAAGATTTGTGAAATCAAAATAATTTAAAACTACAGTTCATTATAAGTACTTAGTATTTATTTACATCATTTATATGAAAACATAAATAATATTTTAATATGTAACAAGGTTTTACAGAAAATATGTTACTAAAAAGTTGTATTTTAAGATTAAAAAAACTAGGGTATTTTTGAAAAAAAAATGAACTGCAATTTTAACAATTTGTTTGTCCAAAAATATATTCAAATGAGTATATGTTTGTGATGTCTATTTTTTTAATTTGGATTTTTTTCCTATTCTCAAATAACTTCATACTTTGTACGTTTTGTACAATATTTTACAAAATTTTGTTTAAAAAGAAACACCTTTATAAGTTACATAATCTTTTCAGAGTAATAGACATATAGTAACCTTTGAGGTTTATGGAAATCCCTGCAACAATTTTCTAATCAAATTAAGTGCTTTATGGCAATATAAATACCCTAGCTACAGCTAACAAAGGATGCCCCGATCTATAGGAATCGTACTTTTAGTTACTGGTGTATGTGTAACATGACGGCATGTTGTATCACATTGTGGACAAAGGGAATTAGTTGATACTGTGAATGCACGAACTGCAGAGTTGTTGAAGTTTTCATTTAAATTGTCTGTACGGTACGTTTTACACTGGCTTTTTGTGGTATCTGTAATACAGGAAAAACTTTTTCTTTGACTAATTGGTGTTGACTTAGGTGTCAGCTGGGTTGATGACTTTAATGAAATAGACGGTAGAAGATTCATTTTCAGTGATATCCATGGATGGTCAAGTAGTTCGTGGATAGTGGGTCGTTTTCTGAAACAAAATATAGAAATTTAAAATTTAGCAAAAACAATTTCGTTATGAATTATAATAACTGATTAATTTCAAACTTCTATAGTTTATTTTACTCTTTGAGGAGGCAAAAAAACATCATATTTAGACTTACGGTAAAAATTCTTTGCTTCATTTTTTAATTTCTCATTGCATTTACGACCTACTTTCATAAATTGATATTTGGTCTAAAATGTATTATTTTGGTATTATTTAGTCTTTTAAAAAAATTGCATTTGCAGCATCCTTGAAAATATCGTATATCTCTGGAATTAAATATTGTAACAAATGCTGTTTTCATCATTCATTCAAGCATATAAAACCTATCTGCATTATTTAATATGTTTCAAGAAAATTAGTACTTTTGACCTTAAAAGTTTATTCTTTAGTCATGAATATTTTTATTATTTTATATGGAATCTTACGTGCGATTTGATAAAATTCAAAACTTTATTTTTCCTTCTTTTTTCATTAATGTATGTTGAGGTCTATTTCTTATAGTTTGTGAGATATTAGCGGTTTTTTATATTTTTGTTCCTAGTTTTGTTTTATAAAACGGACATTACATTTTTAAAACAAAGTGGACGAAATGATGTTTGAGCATTGTTTAAAACAAAAGTTACGTAATCACTATAAGAATGTGCAAACAAATTTTTTGTTAAGGTCATAATTTTTTTGAACAGATTAAGGCAGCACATGATAAAAAATTTGTAAATAAAATAATGAAAAAGTTTCTTTTCAGAGATATTTAATATTTTCTAGGATCGTGCAAACATATATTTTTTTTAATATCAAATAACACTAAAACTTAGAAGCAATATTTGTGTGTCCTAAATTGAAGTAGAAATTAAAAAATGCAGTAGTATTACAGTTTCATTTGAATAAAATATATGTTATTGTGACTGTTTCTAGTTGGTCATTGTTCAAAGTAATGAAACTAGAAACCAAAATAGGGAATACTCTTGAAGGGTTACAATATTATTTAATAATGTCAGTATATCAGATTTGTATTTTTGATTCATTAGTACTATTTGGACAGATGTCTACTGAGTTATTTCTTAGTACACCTTGATATTTGTTATTACAAAGTTTATAACTGATGAAAATTAAAAAAAAAAATAAATAAACTCTCATTCCAAAAGGAATAGTCAAGGGTTGTTTTCATGAAAATATGTTTGCTTAATCAAAAACCTCACATTGAAAAAAGTAAAGAAATAAAAAACAAAAACAAATTTGACTTGTGTAACAATAACTTGAATTACGAAAGTGTTGTGTATTTTTTATTTGTCTGCCTTTTTTATTGCGAAATTTTTGGTTAGAAAAAAATAGTTTGATAAAAATAACTCTTACTGGTCCTTTTGAGGCATGGGTCTATTTATTATAATTAGTATAATTTTTTTCATAGGTGGCAAAATACCGAAATATAGGAAAAATTAGTCGAGTGAAATTTTGTCAAAATATAAAAAATTTAAACATTCTTAAAAACTATTAAACCGACAATGCGACCGATACATTCTTTATGTGAATAATATTGTATCTTATTCGCAGTTTTTGATAATATCTAGGTATTTTCTTTTTAAGTTTTTAATATGTTTGTGTATTTATTTTTTGTATTAACATTACTTCATTTATAGTATTTGTCTGTTCTTTAAATGGCTGTGTATATTCCCATACATTGTAATATTCTCAGTGGAAAATAAAGTATTAATATTATTTTCATTATTATTAAATACTGGAAAAGCATTGCTTAATGTATTTTTTAAATAGCGTAGTGTATTATTATTGAAATCTAAAGATAAAACCAGGTGCCGTATTTCTAATCATTTCTTATAGAAGACAGTTGGCGAGCTTAAAAGTACAGTCAAAGCTCCTTATTCTTGGGGGATACGTTCCGAAAATCTACCACGAATATGGAATCCGCGAATACGGAGTGGCATTTTGTATGGAAATATAGGGGACACCTTCCATTATTGCAAAATAATAAAAAAATATAATAAAATTAACTTATTGAGATAAATTTTAACAATATTAATTATTATTATCAGGTTTAGGCAATGGTTTAAAGAACTTAATGATTTTTTCTTGTATTGCAGCTAATAATAAAAGGCCTTTTAATTTGGATTAATATTCAGCTGTGGTATTATCAATTTGCTTCCACAGACGTATCAGTTGTTATGAAAAAATTGCAAAGCTCATTTGCAATCCGTAAACCTTCACTCTGGTTTTTTAAGTTTAATGTCACTTTTATCAAAGGCCTGTACGCGAGCGGCGTCAATAGCGACTTTTCTTAAAGGACTTTCGGCTTCACTACATTAGAATTTATTTGTTTATAAATATTGTCACACCTACTTGTTTATTTTGATAAATAAATACACATTATTTTAAAAATACGATATGTTTCATTAGTTTTGGATCCGCAAACACAGAATTTTTCACCCCTGAATACGGGAAGTGGTCACTAATTTTTTGGTTCGCAAATAGGGAATCCATGAATACGGGAATCGTGAATAAGGAGCTTTGACTGTACATATTTTCACAGTTACGCATTGTTAAAACACAATAAAATATGTGGAATTCAGCAAGGGACCCTAAAGATGGACAGTTCGGCACTGCAGGAAAGTTATTTTGTCTGTGATATGTTTAAAACGTTCACTGCCCATGTGACTTATGCGCGAGTGCCGCACACACTTGAAAGAGCTTGGAACAACCTATCATATGACAAAAATTATCCTAAAATAATTGGACAGCCCTGGTTACTGCATCTAATTTTAAGACATTTTATTGGGTTAAAGTTACAAATTTCTCTTACCTTGGATCTATAACAAGAGTGCTTTTTATAAAGTCTATTGCTGCACTTGAAACATCACCAAAATGTTCCGTTTCAAAAGATAATGAACATTTTGATATATTTAAATATGTCTGTTGTTTATCATCAGCTCCAAAAGGACTAAATCCTGACAGAATCACATATGCTAAAACCCCTATTGACCATATATCTGTTGAAAGGCTTATTGGTTCATAATTTAAAACTTCTGGAGCTACATAATCTGCAGTACCTGGAACAATCAATCAATCTATACAGGATGTTTATTAAGTACTTGTACAAACTTTAAAGGGTGAACTTTAACTAATTTTAAGACAAATAGTCTTACGATACAGAGCGTCCAAAAAAATTTTTTTGTTTGGTATTTTGAATTTATTTCTGTTCAATAACATGGAAATTTTCACTAATTTGGTGATATTAATTTGTAAAGTGATGACTCTTTTTCGCCTATTTTTCAAAAACAAATTTTTTTTTTTGGACGCTCTATCTCAAGCACCAAGTCGTTGCGGACCCATGTACATATGAATTTTTTATCTTAAAATTAGTCAAAGATTCACCCTTTAAAGTTTGTACAAGTACTTAATAAACATCATGTGTACATAAATATGTATGTATATATTTTCACTAATGTGGGTAATATGATAGTTCTGATAATAAAAAAGTTAATAGGTACTTATTACTGATTTAATTTTGAAAACTAACAGATCGTCAGTATCCTGATGCATATCAGTAAAACCATTAATATTTGAAAGTTAGGGAGTTCAGTTTTAGAGATTAAATCCTGAGATTTCATAATTAAACACTTTGATCCCAGGATTAGAACCTGATTCCGAAGCTTAACTAAAAAAATTGCAATACCTACCCATTGACAAATTCATTTTTCATTTACATAAATTAAAGTTAAAAAGTTCTATATTGAAATAGAGAATACACTTATAACAAAAAAGTAGGTATTCGTAATAATTATACCTATAATGAAACATGGGACCCATATTGTTTTCTTTTTGGTATGAGTCCCATTCTTCATTATTGAAATATGACCACTTTAATTTTTGCGGTGCGTCATTGCTCATATTTCTAAGCTATTTAGGGATCATTACCACTTGATTTGACATGATAAATAAAAAAGCAAATATCAGTACATAATTTGATTTTGGGATTTGATACAAAATATCCAGGATCTTCGTTTTTAAATCTAAAGATTAAGGGATTGAATTCTCTATTCAAAATACAGACACTATTCATAAGTGTTACCAAGTTATTGTCTACTGCTGTATAGATAATTTTTTTACTTTTACCAGCCTTAACATAAAAATTTTAAAGCTCTAAATATTTTTACTTTAATTTGTTGCAAAATTCTTGATCCCGTTATATGTCCCATTTTTAAATTTTGCCTTATATGAAATTAGATGTACCTACATACAATTTTTATACCTAGAGTAAATATTAAAAGTATGCAGAACATATAAAGACACTGTCAAAAATAGAAAGTACTTAAATTTTTAGACAATTTTTGTTATAACTAATAAAAATAAACACTCAGTAGGTATGTAAATAACAAAATAAATAATTAAAAACTCTCAACAAATCAAAAGATTAAATAAATAGAAAACATATTGTATGTACAATAATACATTTTTTTTTTAATTTTCAGTAAATAAAACCTAAGGTTAATAAATCACATTTAGGCTTCATTGCAAAATAAATGCTGATAAATTTCCTTGTTATTAAAGAAATTGACTCTAATAATATCATGTTTGTGTTTGTACATTTTATAAAATTAAAAGATCATATACCTTCACTAATGTATTTTTTTTGTTAGATGAGAAATACATATATCCAAAGGACAGGATATTATAGGATATTGAATTTATTATATCATATAAATTTAAAATTACAATAGTAATTTCTTTGTTAATGTATATCAGTCTCTTGTCGTCATATTCTTTCAACACAGTGTGTTGCCATTTCAAGTCATAGTACATAAAATATGTTTTTTATATTGATTTCAAACAATATTTTTTATTTTCTTTATAAGAAATTCAGCATAATACATAATTATTTGAAAATCTATTTTGTCATTAAATTGAATTTAAGTTAGGTATAAAAAAATTACGAAATTACCTAAAGGCCTTCTTTGTATAAAATGGATTACAAATTGTCCAGAACTGGGTAGTCATCATTTTCAGTATTATTAGTTGGCAAGTATGTTATGTTTAAATTATTGAGAAGTAATGTCTCAAATGCTGATACAAATTGGTAAGATGTGAGGTCTGAATTATGACCTCCATACTAGTATACAGAAGCAAAAGTAGGTATTTTTTAAAGGATCTTGGTTTAAGGATCGTGTTTTAAGATACTTGAATCCCATTTTATAAATTTCATTATATAATTCCTTAACTTCATTTTTAAAATGCACAATGTTTTTTTTTCAGTCTTTGGTATAAAATTTCCAGGACTATCTTTTGTAAAGTTTTATTCCACAAATGGTATCTAGAATTTCTGCTTACACGTCTGTATGGCTTCTCAATTTTAGTTTTAGCTGATCTACAGTTTAAACTATCAAAGAGCTGTGTAAATTGCATCACTTGGGAGACCATTAATCCATTCATGGATTTTGTACTTTGTTTCGTGGTTAGCCACTAAATCTGGTTAAATATGGTCGATCTCCATGTGAAACTATAACATACCTACCAACTCGCTGCTAAAACTGATAGTTGAGTTAATCAGCAGCTGAACTCGATGGAATGGCTATTTCATTAATTTTTTATTTAATTTGACAGTACAAAAACAGACAATGTAATTTCCCATAATTATCCGAAATTTTGTCCTTTTTTTAAATGGATCTCGATGTTTAGGACATTTTTAAAGATGACAATGAAGTATGAATTCAATTTATTAATGATCACCACATGTATACAGTTCTAGATCGACCAGATAATTTAAATAAATGGGACCAAGTGCTTTTTTAACAGATTTCGACTAAGGAAAGTGACTGTTAATAGTGTTTTATAAGCAAATTCAACATTTGTTACAACCTCTTGATTTTGAATATTAGTTAGTAATTATAAGAAATTATATTCAAAATAGCCAGTCAAAATGTCAAAATATCACAATGCACATTGAAGATTGAGGTTAGAAAGTTCTCGTTAGAGCTCCACTACCATATCAATGTAACAAACTGAAATGCTGTTAAACTTTTATATCTTGGTTGCTACTCTATATCTCTGTATTATAGTTTTATTTATGAGCTTACATTCACAAATGTTTATAGTCCAGCTTAATGATACATTAAATTTAATGTTCTAATAAATGTAGCACAAAGTACAGAAGTAGATATTTATTAGATGAGTATAACTTTAATCGGCATTAACTAATGCACAATTTTAATCAAGACTCAAAGTACTGGGCCAAGAGTTTTTGTTGTAATGCTTACTTAATTTTTGTTTTGTTAGGTTTCATATTAAAATATGTTTCTCTTAATTTCCTTAGACCTTGGAATCTCTTTTTACTGTGAATTTTATAAGCTTCAATAATATAACCAGACATAGCAACTTTAACTTAATGTTTTATTTAAAAAAGCATTTTAGTTGACTTAAATAAGAGAGGTACATCAAATATAGTTATTGTTTTTATTATTTAAGATTAGTTAAGAAGTTAAGATGTAGTTCTTTATTTCAAGAATCAGTTACTAACTGGCTTATAGCAGATCGGTTAGTAGATCCTTGATCACACGTAGTGGCAGGAACTTTTAAATTTGAATTCTAAAGTTCTGTCATTACTTCCTTTACCAAAATTGTTCTGTTTTAGTAATGCCCAATAAAATAATAGTATGTTAATGGTTGCTTCCAATTTTTCTGAAGCCTGAACACTAATGCCTGATTGCAACTTAATTTCTTCTACCCAAAGTGCAATCAAGATCTACGAGCCCAGGCTCATAATAGTTCGGCCAGGCATAATTTAGCTACTAATATATTTCAATAAAAGTCAAAACTATTTTATTAAAGAAAAATGTTGGCAACAGAAACATAATGTTTCTTTTATGGAATAGCCTTCTAGCAGTCCAGATCTCTTGCCAATAGAAACATTGTGGCATAAAATGAAAAAACAGTTGCGCAAACATCCAGCCCGTCCAGTTAATGATCCACGCATCAAATTGCAAGAAATTTGGGATAGCACGCCTTCTGGTAAATACAATGCCTGCCAGAATTAAAGATGTTATTCTTAATAAAGGTAATGTAACACAATTTTGATGAAACGGTCGAACTATCCTGAACCGCCAATCTTAATGTTTTTTATTAACAAACTACCCATTGGCACATCAGTACGTAGTAATATTTAATCGTATTTAAGTTAAAAGTTTATACTTTGTTTATATTACCAATATTTTTCTTTTGAGAGTGTTATTACTTTTATTTAAATATATTAGTAGTAAAACTATACCTGGCCGAACTATTATGAGCCTGGGCTAGTACATAAAATAATTTTGTCAGTCTACCTAAAATAAGTTGTTTACTTGAAATAAAACAATACATTCTCTTTCATGCTTACTCATCTTGAAAACTTTCAGTCTTGTAAAAAAGAGTTTCATTAATCCCAGTTGAAAAAGGAATAGTTTTCAATACTCTACATAGAATAAATTTTGATGGTAATAGGGGAAAATTTTTAAGAAACGCTGTTTTCATACTAGGTGCAACAAAAAATATGTTGTCTCCTTTTCAGTGACAAAATATGATGATTTAACCCTATGTACCTGTATTATTAACAATGCCTCCCTTAAAAGATATAGGGTGTTAAAGTTTAACCTTCAAAATTATATTTTCCCAATAATTTTGTCAATTTTTGATGTGTCAGTTTGAAAGGACTCCGCACAAACCTTATGGATTTTAGGTCTCGAATGATTTGTCTGGATTTTTTGTATTTTGTACTTAATATCCTCCTGATCAAAAATGTCAATGGGTGCAAAGTCCAAAAATGGACAGTTTTCAAGATACCGAGGGGCAAAGTCCCCTAAAATGAAACATTTCTTGGGACCGCACGATAATTCGATATACAATTTCGGATCATAATAGATTTTTAAGTGCAATATTTTCATGTATATTTTGCTCAATTAACTCCCATAATCCATCTCCCTAATATATATACAGGGTGTCCCATTTTAAATTACGCACCTGAATATCTCATCACGGAAGCCACCAATCCGAAAATAACCCTTACAAAAGTTGTTGGTTT